GGGAAACACTGCTGCAGCATTAATTTGGGTATCATGCTATTGACCATCAGCCCCTGTCCTCCACAGGAAAGTCCTTGGTCAGTTCATCCACCTCATGATAATGCAAGTCTGCCTTTTGTGCAGTGTCTTAAAACCCCCTTGTGGTTGGCATCATTTCCTCCAGAAAATACTTCCTGGCCCCTTTCCAGGTGCTCTTCACCCCAGCCCACAGCAGTTGCCCCTCCTAAGTGTTGCCCATAACACCCTGATATCAGCCTGTCATTTGACTTGCTACTTTCTATTTCACCCACGTGTGGTTTATCCTGCTAGACTAGGAGGGACCCAAGGATAGGGGCTATTCCTTTGTTTCCAGGACCTGGCAAAGGGAAGGTGCCTATTAAGTATTTGATAAACAAATACAGCAAAGAAATTTTGTCCAAGGCAACAGTCAACCAATTTGTTTTTAGCTGATACGGGAAAGTTAGTGAAGATCTCTGCGAATAGTCTCCAGAGTTTGATTCACCTACACAGTGAGAGACCCATAGTGTATTTTAATTTTCATATGATTCTCAGTATGCTCAAGGGAGAATGAAAATGTTCGAATGGCTGGTGTTAGATTGACAAGTTCCTGGAACTTGATGAATCCCAGGTGCTCTGTGCTGCCATGATTGTTTTGGATGTGTGACAATCCATGTGCATCACTGGCATTGCCAAGGTCCCCCCTTACGACACCCGAGTGTGGACAGTTGCCTAATAAACTCATCAGTAAACCTAAGAAAAGGAATAGTAACTAATTCTGAGTGCTTATAGTGTGTGAAGCACTGTACAGGCGTGTGGTGGTATTTGTAAACCATTAACAGACTTGTTTTTCTTAAATTTTTACTCCGATTCCCCATTCTCAGGTATCCCAGTCTCCTGCAGTCTGGAATATTCCTTATTCTCTCTCTGGCTTTTATGGCCTTGATCATTTGGAAGACTGTGAACCAGTCATTTTGTAGAGTGTTGCTTAATTGGAGTTCGTCCCATGCTTTCTCGTGGCTGAACCATCACTATGTATTTTGCGGTCAAAATATGCAGAATCTGTATTCATTTCAACCTATGGATGGCATCTGATGCCTGTATGCCCTGTTGCTGGTGGCATTCATTTTAATCCTTTGACTAAGGTGGACTTCTGCCAGCGTCACTATGTTTGCCCCCGTTTGTAATTAATAAGTATTTCGTGGGGAGATATTTTGAGACTATGTAAAGTTCTCCTCGTCTCAATTCTACCCGCTAACTTTAGCATCTCTTGATGTTCCTTGCCTGAATTAATTTATTTTTACAGTTGTTGCCAAATGGAGGTTTTCTCGTACCATCATTCCCTCTTCATTTATTTGTGGGCTTTCTACTGCAAGAAAAAAAAAAATTCTGTAAGTCCCATTAACTTACTCATTTACATGTGTATGTGTTGTGGATTCATAGATTCCTATTCTGTTCATTGGTTTCTAATCAGTTCCCACCTTTTTCATTTTTTTGGATGTTCAAATTTTCCTAAATTTAGTAGTAGGAATTTCAAACCAGGCTGCTGCAAGCTTTGACATGTCCTCTTGGCAAAGTTTGACATGTCCTCTCGGCAAAGTAAGAAAAATGCTCAAAGAGCTTGAGTTTTTTTCTTAATTTCTGCTACAACAAGATGTTCCAGACTCATCTCCCTCTTTCCCTGCCAGAGCCCTGAAACCAGCCATTTTATTTTTGCATATGTAATAAGCTCCAAAATACATCGTTACTATTTTTGCTTTAAATAGTCAATTGTCTTTTAAAGATATTTAATTAATAAAAAAAAAGTCTTTATAGTTACCTATTTAAGTTTCTTCTGGTACTCATTATTTTGCCTGCAGATTCAAGTTTCCTATGATACTGTTTTACTTCTGCTCAAAAGACATTAACATTTCTTTCAGTGTAGGTCTACTGATGTTGAATTCTTTCAGTTCGTGTATATCTAAAAAGTATTTATTTTGCCAACCTTGAAAGCTATTTTTGATGGGCATGGAATTCTAGATAGCTTTTTTTTTTCTTGTGGTGCTTAAAATGCGTTACTCCCTGTTTCTAGCTTTATTTCCAGTGAGAAATCCTACTGTCCTTACCTTTGTTCCTCTGTATATAGTGTGTCTTTTTTACTCTGGCTGCTTTTTAAAGTTCTCTTTATTACCAGTTTTATTGCAATTTGATTATGATGCATAACCTTATATTAGGCCTTTTGAAATTGTCTCAGAAATCACTATTGTTCTGTTGCATTGTTCTCTTTTTTCTCTCTATGTTTCGTTCTGGATAGTTTCTATTGTTATGTCTTCTAGTTCACTAACCTTCTGCAATGTCTAATCTGCCACTAACCCCATCTGGTGTATTTTTCATTTCAGACGTGTAGTTTTCATCTCTAGAAGTTTGATTTGAATCTTTTGTATATATTCTACGTCTCTACTTAACACATTCCATCTTTCCTCTGGCTTCTTTAACATATGGGATACAGTAAGAACACCTTTATAATGTCCTTGTCTACTAATTCTATCATCTACTCCATTTCTGGATTTGTTTTAAATTGATGTATTTTTCTCCTCATTATGGGTAACTTTTTGTTTCCTCTTGGCATGTCTGGTAATGTTTTGTTGAATTGCAGACATTGTGAACTTTACCCCATGGTGCTGGTTATTTTTGTATTTCTATAAATATTCTGGAGCTTTATTGGGGGGATGTAATTAACTTACTTGGAAACCATTTTATCCAGGTTTTGCTTTTAAATGGTATTAAATGGGATCAGAGCAGAATTTAGATGAGGGCTAATTTTGTTCCATTACTGAGGCAAGTACACCCCCTGTACTCAATGCCCTTGAATTACTTCAAGCACTGTATGAACTCCAGGGATTGTTCCTTCTAATGCTTATGTGTTTTGTTGAGTTTTTTTTTTTTTTTTTTTTTTTGACCAGCTTCAAGATGTTTCCTTACATGTTGAAGAGTCAAGGGACCTCTCTGCAGACCTCCAGAGTTAGTTCTTATTCATTCGTGCGCTCGCTTGCTCGCTTGTTCTCAGGTTTTCTCTTCTCCAGCACACTGTGCTTAGAGCCCTAGCCGCCTTTCCCTCCCTCGGCTCCCAGCTCCATCTCCTCAACTCAGGAACACTGCTGCTTTATCTCATCTCTCTCCTCTCCCAGTGATCACTGTTCTTTGTTGCCTTATGTTCAATGTTTTGAAAATCACTCTTTCATATGCTTTGTCTGCAATTTAGTCATTTCATGCAAGATGGAAAATCAAGTCTCTATGATTTCATCTTGCCCAGAAGTGGAACTGAACTTGTTACTTTGTTATGGATAAGTTAGCAAATATGGTCTAAAGCACCTAGCCCTGTATGTCTGGGGATGCTATGCCAAAAGTTTGCCAGTGGAAAATTCTCCCAAATTCTAAGCAGCTCATTTACGAAAGAACTCAGTAGAGATTTTCTCAAACTTAACAAAAAAAAATTACACACGTCTCACTAAATTCAGACTAACTTTATCTCCCCCTCAGCTCCGGAGCCTTTAGTCAGGTCTGAAAAAGCCTGTGGTCACTTCAGCAGCAACCATCATGAAAGGAATTATGGGAGAGAAGGTCAGGATGCAAAGAGACAGGCATCTCTCTCCTGTTTGGTGTAAGCATGGTCACAGTTTTACAAAGCCATAAAATATTACAAATTATAAAATAATGAGATATTTATGACCTGGAAGTGTCCTGACAACTGAGGCACCTGGAGCTTCAGCTTCACAGCAAATCTGCCTATTTTATTCATTCACAGTGAAAAACCTTGGTCACAATCCAGTATGTGGATTTTATAAGCTGATAATGAGTCACCGTCTGCCATTAGACAGCCCTTTCCCTTGGCCAGGTCTTCAGATGACCTGGGTGGCAAGGATGGACT